CCTTGTTTTAAAATCGTCTGTATTTAGTATCTTAATATACTATTGAAAACGCAAAAAGGCTTAAGATGACAGACTATTTTCAACAAAAAAGGTAACGGTTTTTTTTATAAAATGTAAAAGTTTTTTTTCAATTATATTTTATTTGTTTTGTGTGGGCATTGGACAATTAACTTTACACTTAGAAGAAATCTATGAAAACAATGACTAAAAGTTTGATGCAAAGACACAACAACATGCTTATTAATTACTTGTTCCATTGCGTAACTCTTCTTTCTTATTCAGTCTAGAAGTTATTGAGCCTAACTGTAAGGCTTTCCAAGAAACTGAAAGCAGTGTCTTCGGCATTGCATGATGCTGTAGCTCTAGAGGATGACATTACCACTAAAGTTGGCCGATGGAGAACAGACGAGACAGAGTGGCAAGACCATGAATTTGCTGCATTCAATCAGGCTGAACATCTTGCTAAAATAGACGAGTGTGTCACATCAAAAAACCCCATCTAAGTTCCAGAAGTGTAGAGCAAACAACATTTACAGATGTGCAAGAACTTAATGCTACAGACTACTTTAAAAGAGTTATATAGTTCCCTTTCTTGGATGGTATTTTGTTACAGTTCAGGGAGAAATTTTGTAACCATTCTGTTACTGCACTTCTGTTATCTAATGTCGCTACAGGATCTACATTGTCCCAAGATTTAAAAGCTACTCATTTATTTTATAGCAGGTTTCTGAAATGCACAGTAGAAGAACTAGTGAACCAGTTTCACATATTTAAAACCTTTTTCTCATGTTCATGTAACAAACACAGTAGTCTGCAAAAGTTGTTAGGTGAAATACCAAAAGAAAGATTCCCTATTATATATATTATTTTACAAATTGCAATCACTTTTCCTGTAACACCTTGTGAACCAGAACGTTGCTTCAGTGCTCTGAAGCTTTTAAAATTAAGAATACGATCTTCTATGGTTGATGATTGCTCAAATGGTCTTGCCCTTATGTACATTTGCACATAAATTAATATTGACCCAGACATGGTTATCAATGATTTTGCCTTGAGCACACGCAAATTGGATTTTGTGTTATAATAAAGTACCCTGTGTTTATGAACCTGCAGTCAACTGGTGTTTATAAGCTTGTTTATGAAATAAATGTAGTCTTCTGTGTTTATGAACTTGTAGACTGTAGTCAACTGGTGTTAGTTAACTTTCAACTGGTGTTAATGAACTTGTAAACTGGAGTTTATTAATTTGTAATCAATTGATATTAAAAAAGCTTTTTTATAATAATTTATATGCCTGTCTCACATAAATTTTTGGGAGGGGGATACCCCATCCCAAACCTTCCCCTCAGTAAACCTCCAAGCATTACCCCCCACCACTGATTCTAGATCCGCCGCTGTTGTTGGTTGCAGTATTAACTATGGATTTCTTCTAGTATAACAAATTTAAAATTTTCTATAAAATTTTCAATATAAGAGTGGAATGTTATGCTATCAAGTTTTTAACTAACACTATCACTGACTTCGCCGACTGTATATGTGTAATTTAGAAGCTCTGTTCTATCTGTTGTACTCCATTGTTTCTTATCAATCATTTCATCTTCATCAGCTTTTTAATTCTCTTTAAATGATCCCTTATTTTTCATAGATTTGCATTTATACATTTAATAATATTTTTAACTCCAAGGCAGCAATTACCTCTATGGACCACATCAAAAAATGTGTCATGTAAGGCAGAATAATCATCTATTTTTTTAAACCACTTCTTTTTGACATGAAGGACACGTTTGAGAAACCAGCTGTTGTTTCCATACCAATTGAACACAAGAACAAATAAATTTATATTAATTTTATGCCTTTTAAATGGGTCCATGCAATTTTTTTGGGACTTAGTAAACCAGTTAAGTAAAAAATCATCATGATGTAAACAGATTTTAACATTAAAGTTTAATATTTTTTTTTTTTTTTTTTTGTATGTATTTAGGTGCTCCCAGAAGTCCTTACGGTCTTATCATAGAGCACCGCGGGTGAGCATTTAACAGGAAGTTCACGCCTCCTTCCGTACCAATGTCGCTTGTTGGGCTGGAGCTGGCATCGAACCTCGGACCTCTGGATTCTGAGCCAGAACTCTAACCACTGCGCCACGGCTGATCAAATATTGATAGCCTAGATCTCCATAATTATAAATTTCTACCTCTTTCTCAATAGCTTGATATATCTTTCAATCCAGTTGATTTAGTGTACACTATTTTATGACATTGATCATTTAATAGTAAAATCTTGTAAATTTTATTTTTAACTATAAATAAATGCAAACCTTTTGAATCAGTCATTAAAAAGGTTAACCTTATATATATATATATATATATATATATATATATATATATATATATATATATATATATATATATATATATATATATATATATATATATATATATATATATATATATATATATATATATATATATATATATATATATATATATATATATAGTGTTTCAGTAAAATTTAGAACCGCTTACATTTTTTTTCAATACTCGACAGAAAAACTTGAATAGAAATTAAACTTATTAAGGTTTTTCAATTATTTTTTTTTATTTTATTAAATAAGGTATGTTTTATAATTTAAGTAAAAAAAAAATTGCAAAAAAATATAGAAAATATAAAAAAAATGAAAGAAAACAAGTAGACATAAAAAATAAGGGTAGCAAAAAAAATCAGTTAAATATAGCACATTTCAAAAAAAATTAAATTTCAATATTAAAAACGACCACCGCGGCTTTTATACATGAAAGAACTCTCCTAGGCATAGACTCAATCAATTTCATGCAGAACTCTGTTGGAATACTCTTCCATGTCTCTTCTATCGCTTGCTTTAAGTGCTCAACCGACGTCAGCTTGGTGCGCATTAATTGGCGGTCCATCCAAGCCAAAAGATTCTCAATCGGATTCAAATCAGGCAATCGGGCGGGCCAGGGCATCACTTGGATTTTCTTCTCTGAAAACCAGGCTTTTATCGGCTTGGCAGTGTGTGCAGGAGCTCTATCTTGCTGAAAAATCCATTTGCGTCTTCCGAAAAATTCACGGGCTGATGGAGTTAAACGATGCTCCAGAGTTGTTTTGTAGTTATATTGATTGATCTGACCGGTGTACGTATTGCAGAGACCAATACCTTTATGAGAGATGCAACCCCAGACTCCTACCGACCCTCCTTCGCCTTGTATTCTTGGTGATACCATGGGCATGTCATACTTCTGCCATTTCTTTTGATATAAACTCGTCCTTAGCAATTTATGACCTCGAAATTGGATTCATCACTGAAAATATATTTCGCCCAATCTTCTACTGACCAACTGGCATGTTCTCGACACCATTTCAGTAGTCTCAACCGGTCTCGTACTGTCAAAAGTGGCTTCCTAGCAGCAATGTACGAACTGGTTCCTTTTTTCTTTAAAACCTTTCTTACCGTTTCATAGCTAACACTATGATTTCTTAACGAGCTATTGAAATCCTCGGCTAATTCTCGGAGAGTAATTTTAGGTTCGGCATTAACCTTTCATATGAAGAAGTTTTGTCTCGGGTACTAAGCTTTTCTGGTCTTTCAGAGCGCGGCATATCTTTGACACTCTTTCTCAATTTATAGTTTTTTATCGTTGTTGAGACGCATTTTCGTGAAACACCCAACTCTTTTGCTATTTGTGTGTCAGATTTATCTGTATTTTGTTTTAATGCAACAATAAGCCATCTATTTGCATCATCTACTGCTTTTCTACCCATTTTTTTACCAAATATGTCTGGAAGTACCAACTTATCTTATCTTACCGTTTCAAAGCTAACACTATCTTAACTTTATTTCTAATTTGAATTTTTTAGAAATTTTTTTTGTAACATATCTTTTATATTGTAGTGAACAAACACACAAAATTTCAAATTCAAAAATTAACAACTTTTTATGATATGCGGTTTTTAAGTCATGTGCTAAATTTAATAGATAATTTATATCAGCTTAATTTAATAGATAATTTATATCAGCTTAATTTAATAGATAATTTATATCAGCTTAGAAAATTACTTCTAATTACTTAGTCTTAATTTAAATCCAATTAACAATTTTTCTTTATTTCAATTAAAATCATATCTGATAAACAATTAATTTATCTACTCGATTAAGAGAAAATAATAGAAAAATCTTAATCCGTTTAATTTCTATTCAAGTTTTTCTGTCGAGTATTGAAAAAAAATGCAAGCGGTTCTAAATTTTACTTGGTTTTATATGGTAATTACTAAAAATATTAGATTGAAAAAATACTAAAAAAAAATATTTATTTTTGTTTATTTATTTATTAAGTTAACTTGCCTAGATCGTTTATTTTTTTTGTGTGTTTACTTTTAATTAGAATATTTTTTTGAAAGTTTTAATGATAATTTATACCGAAGACCTAATAATAACTTTCTTAGCTAAGAAAATACAAAAGAAAAGCGAGGTTTGAAACAATGTTATAAGTTCTCGAAAAATTAATAACAAGAAACGAGATTTCTTTAAACTATTGAAAGTTTAGGCATTTAAGTATTTTTTGTTGTTGTTTTTCTTGATTAGTTGTTTTGTTGAATTACTATCACACAAGCACACTTATGAAAAGAAAGTTTGTTTTGTCTTTTAACCAATAAATTTTTTCTTTTGCTTTTAATCAATGAAAACAACAATCCTTATTCAAAACTCTTTAGTTCTTTAAACTTGGTTAATCTTTTCAAAAGGCACATAAACTTCATGCTTTGTAAAAAATTATGAAAAAATTAATTCTTTATTAGCGATTTACAATATTGTTTTAGTTTCTTATTTCAACACTTTTGCACACTTTGAATACATTTTATTTAAAGTTTTTATTTCAGTATAAGAACTATATATTTTATAAGAACTATATATAAGAATACGTATTTTATTGTATATATACGTATTTTATTGTATATATAAGAACTACGTATTTTATTTCAGTATAAGAATGGTTTATAAAAACAATTGCAAAAAAACTATTGAACAAAAAGAAGATGTTTCTTTAGGTAGAATTGTGGCAGAATGTTGCTCTCTGCAAGAAATACTTTTTAAATGTATTTCTTGCAGAGAGCAAGAAGATAAAAATTTATCAAGATTTGACGATCAAAAAGTATTTACAATAATGTTCTTTATATTAATAAAATATTAAAATCTTTTATTTGGTTTTAAACTTTGATCTTCACTAAATTTATAAAATAACATGTTACTTAATGAGTGACACTTCAAAAATCTTGTATGTTCTAACTATTTTCAAAATTAATTAAACACTCAAATACTTCGACAATTTTTCTGCCAAAATTATTTTTTAATTTTTTTTTTTTTTTTTTTATAAAATGTTACTTAATGAGTGACACTTCAAAAATCTTGGGTGTATACATGGGTGTATACTTGGGTGTATACTTGGGTGTATACTTGGGTGTATACTTGGGTGTACTTTTTATATACCTAATGTATGAAACTTCCTTCAAAAATCTTGGGTGTACTTATTATATACTTAATGGATGAAACTTCTTTCAAAAATCTTGGGTGTATACTTGGGTATATACTTGGGTGTATTTGTTGTATACTTAAAATGCACAAAATGTCGTCTATACTTAAAGAACAAAACGCTTTTTAAAGTAACTTTCTATCCATTTTTTAGAAATAAAACCATTTTTTAATATTATTGTGATATTTATCTTTCACTGGTGTCATTTATTTTTTATTAATTTTATAAAGTATAAATTAAACAAAATGACAGTAGCAAGTAAAAGACAGAATTCTTGTCGTCAAATAGAAGACAGAAAATTTGTCGTTAAGCCCCTATAGTATAAGCGTTAAATATTGTTTACAAATTTTTACATTTTTTGTAAATACTCATAACATAAAGCAAATATAACAATTAATTAAAATAAAAGTGAAGTTTCGAAAATAATAATAAATAATAAATAAATGAAGAAGAAATGAAAAAAGTTTTTTTTAGTCGGAAATACAAAAAAATATTTTTGTGTTTTTCAATTCAAGCAAATACTGTTTAACTATATTTTTATAATTTATAGTGGTAAGACTTTTCATACTTTCATCAAGAACTATGTTTCATAGACGAGGTCCTCTATATGAAATTGAGTAATTTTTTGAATGTTGATTTCGGTAAGTTAAAGTTGTAATTAGAGCACCTCGCTATATTATATTTAAGTATTTATATTAATTTTCGAAAAACCATAAAAGAAGAACTACAGAAGCACATCATTTTGGTATTTAAGCTTAAATTATAAGTTTTGGAAAAGGTTCCACTCGTTTTGAGCTTTTATTTCTTAAAGTAACGACCTCATAAACACACTCATGTCAGGACATGAGTGTATTTATGCACATTACATTGTTTTGCTGAATTTTTTTTAAAACTAACTATTTTCAAAATTAATTAAACAATCAAATAGTTCCACAATTTTTCTGCCAACATTATTTTTTAATGTTTTTTTTTTTTTTTTTTTTCAAATAACATGTTACTTAATGAGTGACACTTCAAAAATCTTGTATGTTCTAACTATTTTCAAAATTAATTAAACACTCAATATACTTCGACAGTTTTTCTGCCAAAATTATTTTTGAATGTTTTTTTTTTTTTCAAAATTTTTTGATCGACCAAAACGATGTAAAAGTTTAAATCGCTGGCGCAATGGGAGCCACAGCTCCTGCTAACTCTTTTAAAAAAAATATGTTCTCTCTAGTTTAAAATTTTAAATCAGTTTATTTAATTTATTTACTTCTATTTTAGAACCTTTATCATCGAAAGGTTTGGATTTATATTTATTTGTCGTTAATTTATAACAAAATTAGAACATTTAACTTGATTTTCATGTTTGATTTATAAGCTTAATTCATAATATGAATATTAAAATCAAAAATAAAAAAATTTAAAGTACGTATTATTATAACTAATAGTCAGCTTGGAATACAAGTATCGTATCGAAAATTTATTAAAATTATATTTAAATATGAAATTATCTAATTTATGTAAATTTAAAGATATCTAAACATAAAAAAATATTTTTGTATAATGTTACGATTTAAAGTTATACAAAAACAATTTTCTATTAACATAATGGTAAATTAACATAAATTAGATAATTACATTTTGATATATAGTTTTAATAAATAAACGATACGCTACTTGTATTGCGAGCTGACGTAATGTATTATAACTCATGTTGTAAGTCAACTCATGTGATCAGCTTTTTGAATTTTTTTTATCATTAGGTATTTTAGCTTTTACATATACTATAAAGAAATTTTTTAATTTGATATGCATAAACATAGAAAATGTATATGTATATATATATATATATATATATATATATATATATATATATATATATATATATATATATATATATATATATATATATATATATATATATATATATATATATACATATATATATATATATATATATATATATATATATATAAACATAAACATAAACACCTTAATATAACCTGCTTTCTATTTTTGGGAATGAAATCAGTGGCCAAAATGTCTCAATTTTTACAACTCTGTATAATATGTAAATGTTTTATAATAAATAGTTTACCTTTTAAATATTTACAAATACCGTCAGTCTGAATAGCATATTATAAAAATTACGTTTTGACATCTACGATATATGTAAACTTTTTATTATAATATATATCTTTTTGTTTTTTGACTATTAATAAAAACTTTCAATAAATACAAACGATTTTTGGTATATGGTTTTTTAATATTCTTTTTAGGTTGCAAAAATGAATAACACAATAGCTTTAAATATAGAAGAACCTTTCAAATCAATATTGATTTTATCTCTTTGCTTGCTTTCAGTATCTGTTGTAGCAATTAATGGTGTAAGCTTAATTATTATAAAAGAATCACTAAAAATGTCGACTGCTCCTTCGATGTATTTTATAATCAATTTATTGATAGTGGATATAGTACAAGGAATCTTTGTAATTCCAATTTACGCCATAAAAAAACTAAATAACCAAAATAGATTTTGGGATGGTATCATTTGCAATTCTTTTCGGTTTTTATACATGACAACATACTATTTGTCAATATTTTCCGTTTTATTTATAGCTGTCGATAGGTACATTGCTAGCACATATATTTTTAAATATAAAACATTGATTAAAGTTGAAAAAGTAAGATTTATTATAATTGCTTCTTGGATTTATGTTATAGCACTTTGTACCATTCCATTTTATCACCGCAATTCGTCAAAAGTAAACATAACTCGAAACATTGATTATTGTTTATATCGTCAAAATAGTTTGTGGACAACAGCAATGCTTTTAATTAACTGTTTTTTGCCGTATTTCATAATAATGTATTTATATAAATGTATTTATAAAAAATTTCTAAGTTCTGAAAAAGAATCTAATATTAGAACAGTTACATCCGTTCGGTCCCAGCAGAGTCTTAAACAATTTGAAGAACAATCAAAAGTTAACTCAACATTTAATAAAAATACAAAAATATCAGAACAAACAAAAAACATTCTGAAAGTTTCTATTTTGATATCAATTTGCTATGCCATTTGTTGGACGCCATCGGTTATTTATTATGTGCTAAATAAATTTTGTCCTGAGAAATGCTTTACAACAACATATATAAACTCAGTTAATCAAACCTATTTAGAATTTGCAATAAAATACTTTGGATTTTTAAATTCTCTTGCTGCACCGATGATCTACTGTTTTTCCTTAAAAAGATTTAGATTTCAGTTTCGTAATTTAATACAAACTTATTTAAGTGAGAAACGGTTACCTAGTATTTAAGTTATTGTTAAAAGTATGCTTAGTAATAAATTTTTAATAAAACTTACAATATAAATTTATAGGTACATCAAGGAGGTCTAATAGCTTACCTATTATTATACGAGGTATAATATTATTATACGAGGTATAATATTATTATACGAGGTATAATATTATTATAGAAGGTATAATATTATTGTAGGAGGTATATGATATTGTTATACGAGGTATAATATTATTATAGAAGGCCTATTATTATTATAGGAGGTATAATATTATTATAGGCGGTATATAATATTATTATACGAGGTATAATATTATTATAGGCGGTATATAATATTATTATACGAGGTATAATATAATTATACGAGGTATATAATATTATTATAGGAGTATAATATTATTATAGGTGGTATAACAGCTAAGCTATTACCTAATTTTATACCTATTATATTACCTGGTTACATTGTTTTGACTGTTATTATTGTTGAGTACTGTTTTGGGTGCATAGCCTGTCTTATTTATTTTTAAATATTCCTCTATTAATCTTTATTTTTGTCTTGACATCTGTCAAAATATGCTTTGCCTAATAAATAATTCTCCTTTATTCTAATGTACTTCATTTTTTCCCACAGGCGTTCACTGCTCATGTGTGACCATTCGGCGAATTTTATATGCCAAAGTTTTTAAATAATATTATTATACGAGGTATAATATTATTATAGAAGTATAATATTTTTATAGGTGGTATAATAGCTAAGCTATTACCAAATTTTATACCTATTATATTACCTGGTTACATTGGTATGATTGTTATAACTTAAGATTGTTTAAACCCTAACACCCTCCCTCCTTGACCCCAAAATCGAACGATTTTCAAGTAATTGTCGGTTTTTTGAAGAATATAGTCGGTTAGTTAAGTGTTTGACACATTTTAGTCGGCTGATTTTTAGAATCGCCCCCTTTTTTTTTCTTTCTAGAATGACCCCTGCTTATAATTAATTATCCTTAATAAAATGAAATTTTCGCCATTGTATTAATAATTAATAATACAATGGTGATTATTACATTAAACTTCATACAAACCTGATAACTCTACATAAAGTTACAATTGCTTGAGTAATAAATTTGATTACATAGATTTCTTTAGAAAACTGTGGCCAATTTTTAAGTTTCTTTATTCGGCACACGGTAGTTTTGTGATAAAACCTTATATTTGGATCACGGTAGTTTTGTAATAAAAACCTTATAGCTTATTTTCAATTAAGTCAATAAAATGACAAAAAGAAAACTGGGTTACTTCACTTCAAGATAAATAAGATAGTGTGAGAATTACTCTATGAAATTCTAAATATAAAAATAAAAATATAAATATAAAAACTAAAATTTTTAGAATTAATATTGAAATAGCTTTGCATTGATATTGTATTGATTACATTTTATAAAGTATAATGTTCTAATTTTCGTTAACATTTCACATGATGAACTTTTTGATGTTTTTTTGTTGAAGAGTCTTTATAAAAAAAATTATTCTTACAACATCAGTTTATATATACTTGTACCTGACAACATCAGTTTATATATACTTGTACCTGACAACATCAGTTTATATATACTTGTATCTGACAACATCAGTTTATATATACTTGCACCTGACAACATCAGTTTATATATACTTGCACCTGACAACATCAGTTTATATATACTTGTACCTGGCAACATCAGTTTATATATACTTGTACCTGACAACATCAGTTTATATATACTTGTACCTGATAACATCAGTTTATATATACTTGTACCTGACAACATCAGTTTATATATACTTTTACCTGACAACACCAGTTTATATATACTTGTATCTGACAACATCAGTTTATATATACTTATACCTGACAACATCAGTTTATATACATTTGTACCTGACAATATTAGTTTATATTCACTTGTATCTAACTACTAATGAAATACATCCCACAAAAAGTAATTCTAAACATGATGCAAAGGGTTGTTGTACGAACGCAGTTGCATCTTTATACAAACAGGTTGATTAAAGTATGTTGTGTTAACATTTAAAGTTGTACCAGAAAATAAATTTTATGTTTTACAGAACTAGGTTTCAAGTGCTAAATAAAACTACGCACTATGAATTAATTTTTTAAGCCTAAATTTTAAGAAGTTGATGTCTTATAAGGATATTCAAGAGCGATTCTGCGGGGTGTGAGGAGAGGGGGCCTCGTTTTATTTCTCAAATTGCTCCTCAAAATATTACACATTAAAGATCTTTAGTTTCAAGAACACATCAATTTTAACTGATAAACTAATATAGCACCATCCTTAAAAATATAAGCACTTTGTGAAGGTTTAGAAAACGTTTATCATAATGTCTACAATAAAATGTTATGACATTTTTGAATCGTGAATCATTTTAATTCACCTTATTATTTTTATAAGTTAATAAAATAGAACTTATGTTTAAAAAGATTGGTTATTGAGGTTGGAAAAGAGGTTGGTAAAGAGGTGATTTTTAGTTGTTTGTCTACTGAACAGTATTTGTTTTTCAGTTAAATTTAAGGCTTGGCTTAAATCTTGGGTTATAGAAAAATTCAAATGTTTTAAAACTATTTTGTTCCAAAAGGAAGCACCATAAAATAAAATGCTTGATATTCCAAAATTAGTTTTAAAAAATGGCCGAATTAAATCCTTTTTATATTTCGTTATTTTTTAATTCTTTAATCTATATGAATTATGGAAAGAAACTGGAAAAAAAGTTCGTTTTACATTTGAACATAAAACAACGTATATTAAAAACATATAGTTGATATTTAGAGCTGTCAAAAATTGTGAAAATGCCTGCCCGGGACAGAGAACTTTTCTTTTTCACTTGCATTTAAATTTTGTCTTACTTTAAGTGTTTAGGTCACTTATTTCCCAATTACGGGTTCATAAAAACTAGTACGACCACTGTTTCGAGTGCCAAATATGCAAGCCATTAATTGACCACATGCCCAGTAGTCGAGAAAGCAAATTCTAATGGAACCAAAGTTGCAGTTATGCACATATATTTGTGCGCTAAAGTCGCATAATTTTATTTTCCATCTTTCCAGGTTTTGAAAAGGTTTTTTCGACAAATTAATAATTAAATTATAGAAGCTCTGATTTACGTATAGAAAAAGGTTGTTAGAAAACTAAAAATAACCATTGAGAAATAATTAATGTTTATCTGAATTAGAAATTTAAATAAACTTTGTTGAATGTTTTCAAATATTCTGATAGTGATAAATAATAATTTATGAAATTTTTTTACCAAAAGATTTTTAAGATTTTATTTTACCAAGTTGCTCATCACAAAAGATTTTTAAAATTTTATTTTACCAAGTTGCTCATCACATTTCTTAATTGTTAAATTACGATTTATAATTTTAAACTTTAAAAATAAATAAAACTTAAAGCATTATGCAATTTTTCTATACTTTTACCAACTTTATTACACAAGAGTTTAATATGGTATTTCCAAATAAGATTTTCATCGACACAGATGAACCCAAATAAGATTTTCATCGACACAAATGAACCCAAATAAGATTTTCACCGACACAGATGAACCCAAATAAATTTTTATCGACACAGATGAACCCATACAAGATTTTCATTGACACAGATGTCTGTACTAGTTATTCTTTTTATTTGAATTTTATCAATAAAAAGTAAAGAAGTAAATAAAAAATAAAGAAGTAAATAAAAAGTAAAGAAGTAGTATCACAAAGATATATCTCAAAGAAGTAGTTTTATTTAAGAAATTGAATGAAAGAGTGAATATTTTTTTCAAAATTTAATGAAAACTTATTCATTTTAAACCAATTAAAAATTTCGCGAATTCACTATTCATATTTTAAAACAATGTTGGTATACTACTATCAGATACAAGTAATGTTGCTATGCTACTATTAGATAAAATAATGTTGGTATGGTACTATCAGATAAAATAATGTTGGTATGCTACTATCAGATAAAATGATGTTGGTATGCTAATATCAGATAAAAAAACTATTATCAGATAAAAAGCTTCATGAAGATGTTAATGAAAATTAAAATGAGAAAGGGATTAAGTTTAGTGCCCTGGGGTACTCCACAGGTTATATTTATTAAAGTAGCTGAGTCATCTTCTTTAATATATACAAACTGTTTTTAGTTGCTTAAATATCTTTTAAGTAACGAAAAACATTTCCTTTAATTCTATAATAAATTTTGAAAAAAAATGATCAATTGTATCAAAAACTTTAAATAAATCAATGAAAACTGAAAAATAGGAATTTGAAAATTCCTAAATATATTGGGAATTTTTAAAAGATACAGCAATATTAGAAATATCTTACAACAGTCCGGGTTTAAACTTTTTGTTCTACGCTCTAACCGAGCTATCCAGCCACAAATACTGCGAGTATCTTTATTAATGTTAAGCATCACGTCGATGGGTTAAAAAAAGTTAAAAAGTAGTGATTCAAAATTGCTTTCGTAATTAAAATCCAATTCAAAAATAAATGTATTTAGAAATAAAAGAACTCATTTTAAAAATAACGCGTAGTAAGTTGATTGAAAAACGACTTGACGGTTTTTAATTTTTTTGCAACTTTGAACCTTCCCTTATTTCAACGGTTCTTTCACTAAAGTTTTTAGTGAAATTTCTAAGACAATTTTAGCGAGATTCAAACTTCAAGTTCGGTTTTTTTTAGCATCGTTCTTGTTGTCATTAAGTTCTATGTTATCGTTTTGAACATTTGAAGTTTTTCATTTCATTTAATTTGATCGCTTTATACTTCTCACTTATAAAATCAAATAACTTTAAAAGCACCCTTTCACGACCACATGAAACAAATGTCAATCTATGACTTAAAAGGGTGTTAAACTAAATTGTATTATTGAACGTGCATATTATGTAAGAATTTGGTGGTTACCAAAACGGGACTTAAAGGGTCTTGACCCTTTTTGAGAAGTATTACATCCGAACATAACCATTTTATTGACCACATTATTCATAAAAAATTCATCTTGTTTTAATTTTATTAG